GAGGGAGAGGGAGAAGCAGGCTTCCCGCCGAGCAGGGAGCCCGATGCGGGGCTCGATCCCAGGACCCCGGGATCGTGACCTGAGCCGAAGGCAGGCGCCCAACAACTGAGCCACCCAGGCGCCCCTCGTTTTGCGCTTATAGGTAAATCCCTTTAGAACGCATTTTAGAGGCTTCATTTGGGTATATTTCAGCTTTGCAAGCAGATTGTGTGTTATATCAGGTCTGAAATGATTGTTTTTGTTTCTTTCCTATTTCTCCATGCTGAGCTCATGTCACCTGTCACGCAGGCACCTTCTCCAGTAACCTCGGGATCCAGGTAGATGGTATCATCATCTTCCAGACTCCCAGACTTTGAACCCGGAAGCCCTGGAAAGCATCCTGGCCCTTGGGCATGCTGACATTTAATGCCACAGACGACTTTGGGCCAGCCGCGTAACAGGATTTCACACCCCCAAAGTCTGCATGGAAGCATCTGTGCTTAGCAGTTTTCAGAGAAAGGACGGAGGCTGTGGAGTCTGACTCTGGGGCAGAGGACGGGGCTGGGGAGCGGCTGGTCTGAAAGTGGCCTTTGGTCTCCCAGGACTAGGTGTCGGGGACTCGAGCCCGCTCTGCCACCGGCCGCCTGCGAGCCCCTGGGCAAGGCACCTGACCCGGCCACCCTGGGCCACCGGGGCTCCTCGGCTGTCAGAGGGGTTAAAGGCACCAGCTCGCCGACCTTAGGCGGGAGCAGGTCATGGCGGGGAGGGGCTTTCTTATAGACCCTCAGGGTATCTTCTGGGCTTAAGATTCATAGCTCTGAGTGAAATACAGGTACACTGGGAAAAGAAAGCCGATGTAATTCAGTTATTCTGGTTGAGCCCTCTAGGACCATCCTGAAGCCCAGCCCAGCCAACCACACCCTCACGTGGGACAGTGGGCCCTGGGCCCAGGCGTCTCCTGACAGGCGTCGGTCAGCCACGGGTGGGTGGCCCCCGGTACCCCCGCCACCCCCCCCCAGGCAAATAGCAGCTGGCAAAGCTGGGTCACCAAGGAGCAGAGCTGGAGGGGCGAGGGTGGTGGGCATCCTCAGGGCCCTCGCGCGTTTTCCCCCGGAACCAGGGCTCTGAGAGTTTCAGCCACGCAGGCAGAGCTGGCCCGTCCCGCGGGATGAGCTCAACAAATAGAAGAAGCCACCGCGGGCCCGGGGCGGGTGGGCACTCTGACTCCGTTCCACAGCGGTGTTCAGGGCCCGGCTCTTCGGTCCTCCTCAAGTTACCAGCAAGAGACCCACGGTGGCTCAAAGCATCAGAAATCTCCTCCTGCAGGCCGTGCAGGAGATTCGAGAGGTTCCGGCCTCGCTGCTGGCTCCCGGCTACGCTTCGGTCCGTGGTGCTCCGTGGCGTGGGGCTGCGCGGCCCCCTCTGTCTTCTTCACGGGGCCGGCTCCTCTCTGTGGCCCAAATCTCTCTCCTCTCTCTGGTGAGGACACCAGCTGTTGGGTGGGGGTGGTGGGGGCCCACCCTTCAACCACACCCTTCACTTGATCACGTCGGCAAAGAACCCATTTTCAAATAAGGTCACATTCACGGGTACTGGGGACTTGGACGTAGCTTCTGGGGGGGCACGATTCCATCCACCAGCCTGGTCCTTGGGCTCACAATCTTGAACATCAAGATTTGGTAGAGACAGGTGGGGCTGAATCCACTCTTTGATTCATGCTGTTTGGGACTCAGAGATGAAAAGACACAGTCCTGCCCTCAAAGGGGTCGTGGTCTTTCTGCCCCATGACCTCAGGAACCCGAGTGTCAGGGGAGGGGATGTTCAGTGTGCACAGAGAGAGGAAGGGGCACGTCCAGGTGGGCTGTGTCTGTGTTGATTCCTCAAAATTAGAAACAAATGTCAAGTTGGCTCCAGGTTGACTAACACTTATCATTAAGGACCTACTATGTGCAGGGAGTTAAGGGTTTCACTGGTCTCAGTGACTATGTCTCGTTGAGGAACAGAATTCACACGGAGAAGGGTCACAAGATGCCTTGTGCTGTGCTCAGGGGGGACCAGACTTGTAGAGTATGTTGTGCACTGAACAAGTAGACTAAAGATAACTCTGGAATGGAATAGCTAGAGAAGGCTCTGATAGGTCAAAATTTTGCAAAGTAAAGTGCATTTTACTATTTCAACTACGGTAGAAATCCTCTTCACAGAGGTTTTTCGGCTAGTTGGTTAATTTTAAGAGTCCTGAAAGCAAGGAATGCTTTTTTTTTTTTTAAAGATTTTATTTATTTATTTGAGAGAGAGAGAATGAGAGAGAGCA